TGTTGTTCAACATGGGGGTGAGTAGAAAATGAAGGCTAATCATGTTTTGGGTGTACTATTCCTTTAACTGGTGTCCTCCATCTAGCTCTATTCATGTTCTATGGCCAGTGAACCAGTGGGCTGGTCTGTATGTCAATTTTGGGGTGTGACAAAAGTACAGGCCAGAACCAAATAAGTTAACATCCCAGAGTTTACGTCAATTCAGGGCTTTTTTTGGATTCGCCCGTTTTATGGTGGAAGTTTAAAATTGTGAGATTTGCAGAGAAAGCAGGTGCCGATGGGGTTTGAACTTCTCTGTACGTCTATTTCACCCACTGAACTATCAACTATCACAATGTAAACATGGTTTTGCATTCTATGATCCCTTTTAAAACAGCAGATTTGAACATGACCAGCTTTAAGCCTTTTTTATTCAAACAAACAGGCAAAACGGTTTAATCAGTCAACAAAATAATCAAGTTTTTGCCACTGATTGCATTGAAATAAAACAAGCTCTTGACCAGGAGTGCTTTTATCTAAACTTGAAAAGTTTTTAACAAAACCATAACACAAGCTGTGAAACGTCCCAACTAGCGGACGCACAATCAGTACTCTCGTTTGAAATGCTTGTTGAGTTTGGCGACAGAGATGTAGGCGGTGAGGCCGATGAGGAAGACCTGCTTCTGCTCCTGCAGCCACACCAGCAGCATCTTCACCTCACCCTCAGGGCTCCTGTACACCATCTGGAATTCATGGCCGCCATAGTCCGAGGACGGCTTCCTGCTGGCCATGGTGATGTAGATGGGTGAGCTGACACACCAAAAGGGCAACTGGAACTCATCCAGTAGAGTCAGACCCATGATGCAGCAGTTCTAAGTAACACAAAATAATAAAAAATATTCCTGTTACATTCTTCTAGTTCGGGGATTTCTTCCATGCAGCTCAGCCACAAAGCAGAGGGCAGAAGGTTTAACCTCTGGTGAATGGCAACTTTCTGACTGCACTGAGTTAAATACAAAGTTTAGTGGAAGGAAGACCTCTAAAGACTTTAGTCTGGGAAAATGTGGGCGTGGCCTTTTAACTGTACGTTTTTTTCAATCGTTGCACGCAGGGTTCAAAAGTTCATAGCCGACGATGTTTGTTCTCACACTGTGCGGCACGGCGCTCTTATGTGATCTACCAGCTCACACTGTACGTCTAAAACCCACATCGGACTCAGCTCCGCAGTGAGATGGAGCGACTCGGACTCGTCTATCCAGAAGCCAAACCAGTAGAACAGGAAAAAGATAGAGAAATATGAAGCTCACTAGTGTGAAACGCAATAGCGCAATTTTGTGCTGAAAGCCCTAAAAAGAAAAGGCGACGACCTATTTGGAAACATGGCTACTACGGTCTGTCAATTTAACAGAAAGAACTCCATTTCAGTTGCACCCCCGCCATGCTTCTGTGTTTTCGTCTGAGAGGAAGAAGAAGAAGAATCTTTGTTTTCCCACTGAACGATTTGCCCACGACCACCTTATGTCAGCCGACTAAATATCAAAAATGTTTATTTTTTTCCAAACCTCCCGATTCCTGATTGGGAGGTGGTCGTAAGAGGCTGATCGCCCCTCATTACCCCCTGAAAACTACATGATGCACAACGCACGATCAGGCTGAAAGTCGGTTGAAAAATTCTCTCACAAGTAGAGAATCGTCCGTAAATGTAAAAAATCCTGCAGTGTATGTGTACTGCAATCTGATCTAAACTTTAGGGGAAAAAAACTTTAGGGTTACATTTTTGCCAGATGTCTTTACCTCCACAGCTCCTTCTATTTCATGGTTTTTCCAGGGAATTCTGATGCTTCCAGACAGCGATCTGTGCTGTGATAAATCGGCCCTCTGGATGAACCTGAGCTCCACCAGGCCGCCCTGAATCTGAGAATCTAAGAACAAAGATAAGAGGTTACAAAAAGAGAAAAAAAATTGAAAATATGGATTTCTCAGGACATAATGTAAGGAGCCCTTAAATATACAGACATATTCAAACATTTAAAGAATCAATCAGATGGAATATTTTCCTTTCGGGATGACCTTTCTGCTTCACTGCACCAAGGATGAAGATTTAGGAACTTTCAGTTTTTACATGTTCACTTTAAATTACCTTTGGGGGAAGACAGCTGCTTGAAGTGTCCAGACATAATCATGGTGCTGGTGTTGTGCAGGACTAAGTGTAAAGTGTAGCCATGGAGACCCAGCTCTGGGTCAGAGTCGACCACAGGTGGTAGTTCGCCAGTTCCAAAGTACGGGCTGCAGGAAGGGACAAACACAGCTCTGCAACATTCACTGAGGTTCACTTTTCACAGAAAAAAAAGAAAAATCAACCTAATTTTACGACTTCTTCATCTAAACTGTTGTTTTCCAGGCTTTTAATCAGCCTAGATGACTTTAGACCAAAGTTACCCAACTTCAACATCTTTAACATCACCCAGCCGAGAGTTTGTGAACAGAGTTTAGGGGCCCATCTTCCTTCTGTATGTTCTGCGTGATTTAAATTAGACATTTTTTTGATGTATTTATAGTTGTTCAGTTAAATTAGAAGCAGTAAAAATAACACACGTGCCAGACCTCCAAGAAAAACATGAAGTAGTATCACCAGGGAAAATCCAAACAGTGAAATCCTAATAGATTCTAGTAAATTAATCCATAAATAAAATGAAACGAAAGAGCGCTTCCATATTCTTTAATTACATTTAGAAGCCATAATTACCGACAGGTTAAGACCAGAGGAAAATTGCTACTTGATAAGAAAACCAGTAATCAGCTGTAGTGACACACTTTGGCCAGCAGATGGAGCCATTTTACCAATATGATAAAAATCAGGAAGCTGTTGACATCTAAATAAGTTCAACAGTCTCAGACCTCTTAGAGCAGCAAAGGATGATGGGAAATGTCCTGAAGAGCTCAAAACAAATCAACCAGCAGGGTTTCATTCTGGGAAAATGTTGTTTTAATGCTACACTGCTAATTTAGCTTTAAATAGAACAAACTGCAAATCAGGCTGCAGAACCTGGTCAAAGAGGAAGTTACCCACCAGGCTTTGGAGCCCAGCAGGCTCTTCTCCACCAGCTTATGGAAGTGTAGACTGACCATGATGAAGGCCACCTCCTGGCATTCCTATAAACACACAAAATACATGTAAACAATGGCGACTGACAATGTGGAAAATGATGGAGGTGCTCATTGGTTCTGTTTACCGCCCAGAAGCCCATGATGACACTCGGCTGCAGTAACAAGACCCTCATCCGTTTGTCTGTGCCGATGTAGAGGTGCAGCGTTTCTGTGGCCAGCTCCAGAATCAGAGAGCGCCAGTTTGACCTGGAGGGAAGGGGCAGGAAGGAGGAAACATCAGGCTTTTCCAACACAGATCATCAATATCAGGCATAAAACTCTACGGAGTTAGAAAAGGAGTCAAAATGTTTGTAAACTTCTAAATCTTAGCTGAAACTGGAAAAATAAAAGTTGAAACAGAAAAAAATAGAAGTTGATATTTAATGTCAAATTTTTACCTTATAATGTGAACAACTAAGCAGCAAACATGAAAAAATTAGAATTGAATATACAGACATTCCCCCAGTCTAAAAAAAACCTTAAAAACTTCCTCTTTTTATTTCTTTTTTTAAGTGCTGTTTTAGATTTTAGATTTTCAGATTCAAATTCTTTTCTCTCAGTTTCAATTTTTTTTTAAATTCCTTTTTCAGTTTCAGTATCTTTTTTTTTCTTCTCTTTATATATACACTTTCAAATCTGTTATTTCCACTTTCAGATTTTGCCCCAATTCTGACGGGAGTGGGCGGGGAAACCCGATTGAAAGCTTGCAGCAGGGCTGGAGAGATGTCCCTTCCATGCTGCATTCATGGACTGTGTGAACTCCAAGTACTTTAGCAAAAGACTCTCTGATATTAACTCATTCTGGAATGAGGATTAGTGACAGTTCCAGTGTAAATGTCTTTAGCGTAGTATTTTTCATAGGATTTTGCTAAAAAGGCAAATAAATGCTGCAGAGAATGTGTTCACCAAGTCGCTGGAGTTCCTAAGGTCCGTGAATGCAACATGGAACAGGACATCTCTCTCCAGCGCTGCTGCAAGCCTTCTATCACGTTTCCCCACCAACTCCCGTCGGATTGGGGTCAAAATCTGAATGTTAAAAAAAAAACTATCCTGAAACTGAAAAAGAAACTTAAAAAAAAAATTGAAAGAAATTAATTTGATTCTGAATATCTAAAATCTAAAACTGCAATAAAGAAAAAAAAAGTTTCGTTTCTCACATTATAAGGTAAAAAAATAGACATTAAATGTCAACTTCTATTTTTTCTGTTTCGACCGAGTTTTAGAAGTTCACAAACATTTTGACCCCTTTCTCACTCTATAAACGTCAGTCCCTAACGGGGTTTTTAACTCCAACAGAGCTGGTCGAGACTCCAGCGTGATTTTCAGACATCCTGGGATGGATAACTGAGTCCAAATAAAAAGATAAAGGTGAAACTTGTGAAGAATTGTCCTTACTTCCTGCTTTCGGAGCTCCCCTGAGGCTCCATCCTGATGCCGTGCAGCCGGATAGAGCTGATCTGATAGAACTTGAGACAGATTCCAAGGCTCCAGCAGAGAATCATGGACGACTCAAAGAAGTGCCCCTTGCTCTGCTCCAACCTGTGCTCTTTTCCGTTGTGACTGCAGAGCGTCAGCTCCCAGCTCACATTCAGGTTCCTGAATGCCACACAGCAAACCGTCAATACACGGACTTCATCAAACCTGACGTGGAAGCAAGAGCCTGCATAGTGCAGCTTTGTCTAAACTGACTCAGATTCAGAACAGCTTTATAAACCAGAAAACATTCAACATCTGAGGCCTTCAGAGAAAAGGTCCATTAATGGTAGAAGTGAATGAATCACACTCTGCTCATGGTTTAACCAGATTTCATTCAGTCTGGATTATTTGAGGTCTTATAAAGGTTTGTGCTGGTTCTATATTTACCTGAATGGTTCTGATTCTGTTAAGATGTTTGCATTGAGGTTTTATTCACTACCTGTCGCTTTAAATAAAGTAACTAAAGAACTTTTTGATCAAGCTGATTTCGGTTGCTCTATCAATCCTAATAAAATAAGTCTGTAGCTGGAATGTGGGGAAAAGGTAAGGGTAGGGATACTTTCCTTGATACCATTTGTAATTTCAGATAAAATAGTGAGAACAGCTGTTTATCTTGTAAATGATCTTCTCTGACCTGAGGACCGACACGGTCTGCCAGGGCAGGCCGGTGGAGGGACTGATCTCTCGAAGCAATTTCATCCATTTCTTCATTTCCTGTCCGGTCATCAGATTAAAGTACAGCTTCTTCCAGCGGCTAATCGAACCATCCTCCATTGGCTCCGCCCTGTTATCCGTCACCGCGTGTGTATCTGCGCTTTTCGGCTTCCACATCCGTTTATTAAACTTGGACATGTAAATCCTGTGCCACAGGAAGCTGCAGCGACATTGAAGCAGAAATTGCTAAAATGTTAAAACAATCAACTGGACTTTGTTTCCAAGTGTGAAGACGTTTCGCTTCCCATCCAGGAAGCTTTTTCTATTCTAAATGTCGTTGGCGTTGAGCTCAATGCTTTATAGAGTGGACCAAAGCAACATCTTGTTTTGGCTCAGAAAACATGCAAATTGAACCGGTCCACCCCTAAGGAATGGGGCATTTGGCCGCCCATTTCTAAGGGGCGAACCCGTTCGTCCAGACCCGATCATCTCATGCGCCTCTCCTCATGTTGAACCAGTCTTCTTTTACACAGTAAAGTGTCTGTTTGCAGATGTGCATCGGATTGTTATCATCCCAATAAATGGTTGTTATTAGCAGCTATCAGTCCCATAGAACGGCTTCAGATTGTGCCAGTAGGCTCATCAAGTTGTTATCATCGAGTTAATCCTAATCCCAAAGTAACTCCTTTTCCCCTGCGGAATTAATGAATCTATTTGTGTAATCTGAAAATAATTTCAGCAGTTCTTCATTTACTGCAAATATAACTTAATAAAAATAAAATTATTTGCATTTCACCCATATTAAATAAACTAAAAACAACTAATCTCATATCCTGTCACTGGTTTGGAGGAATCCTCTCCCCATAAATTGTTAATTGTGTGTGAAAAGGTGCCAATCATTCTTTAATAAGATCCTCATCAAAAGGACATGCAATGTTTGTTTTTAAAACCAAATGTGTCCAACGGATCTAGTGAATTCTTTATTTATGCACAAAACTACGACAAAAATTGGACTAAATCAGGAAATAAAATGTGATTTGCTGTTAGGAGAGCAGAGATAGAGGACATTCAGAGTTTAATGAAGTAAACCTGCTACCGTCCAGGTTAGCTCTGGGGAGAATGTTACTATGGTGACAGAAACAGAGGTTGAAGAAACTCTCTTTGTGAAACGGAAAAGTCAGAGTTTCCTTGTTTTCAAGTTTAGGCAACTTAAGAGTTTTCAGTAAACCTGCCTCTTGAAACCGACACCAGGTTCCAAATGCAGTCGGTTTTGTCTCGACTTCAAGAGGAGAGAACTCTGTATCACACTGAGAGGTTTTGGAGATACTCCCAAACCCAGCTTCATGAGAACAGGACTGAAGTTCTCTCCTGGTCCGCCCCTTAGGAATGGGGCGGACCAGGAGAGTCCGCTTCCCTAAGGACAGATCCGTTCATTCGGTTAAATTAATATGTTTTCTGAGCCAAACCAAGGCTTTGTTTTTGTTCCACTCTATAAAGCCTCAAACTCAATGCTATTTCTGACCTCCTGGATGGAAAGCGAAACGTCTTTAAACTTGGAAAAAAAGTGACTACGGCCTGGATGACTGAGAATCTTCACCAGCACATTAAAACAGACGTTTAGACTCCAAGTATTGAAATGTTTTAACTGACTGAAAAAGTGCACGGACTCACTCGTCGTTGGAGAGCCGATTGAAGAGTCTGCTCACGTGGCCGACGCAGAACAACGAGGGCGGGTCCAGATAGGACAGAATCTTGATCAGGATCTCGTAGGGAAGTCTGAGGAAATCAAGCAGAGGTGAAGGTTGGTACACCTGACTGATCTCATCCACCAAACTTTTCACTGCTCTGAGAAACACTGGAGCTAAATGTGAGGTCTATAATCCCACAACATGGTGTTTTTTTATGTTGGTTACAATTCAGTATGTTTTATATCTATTTAACTTGTTAAGTTTCCATTTTCCCACTTACCTTTTCACCCACTTCTAACCTGCTTTTATTCTCCTTTCATATTTTTCAAAAAAATATTCTGAAAAATGCTGAATTATGTCAACAAAGTTTGTTTCTTTAAATATATTAGATTGTAGATTTTTCTTTTATGGAATCTTATTGAAACCCAAACATTCCACAACAAGAACAAAAAGATAAAAAATACTGTGAGGATTTAATTATCTGTTGTTTAAGAGTGGCATAAAACTTTAGGTTACCTAGAAACACCAAAACAAGCTAAGATCCTCAACAATTAAAAGTTTACAGTAGTGATGTTATGAGATGAGCCTTTCCTGAGGTTGGTGGTTCAAGAAATGCGTTTGACTTTTGAAAGTTGCGATTTAACTTAATTATAATAAAATATAACACATAGATTGGGTAAAAAACGCTGCCCAATTAGGTCAGTTTAGCCAAAAGATTGGTTGAACACAACTTCCAACCCGATTAAAACCAAAAAATGTGAAAAACTATTATGTTTGGCAGAAAAACTGCGAACCTTTAAGGATTGTTCTAAGAAATTTTACACTTAAAAAAAAAAACTTTAAAAAGATTTTATTATACACACCAACCATTAACAATTTCAACAGAACTTAAAAGGGAAAAAAAAAAAAAAATAAGCAATTGCATATTTTATTACTAACTGTAGTTCTGCAGCCATGACATGTTCACATGGTGCCTCATGAACTGTGGGGATCGTTGAAGCAATTTGGCCAAACGGTTTAAACCCTCATGAGGCGTCATCTCACCATCACTAGTTTACAGCCAATCAGATCTTCCTTTACTTTGCAAAGTAGCCAATTTGTCCATTTTAGAAACAATCACTGAAAAGTTTTTGTCTTTAAATTCCCCATTCATGCCCACAGCTGGTCCGCTGCAGAGGCGTAGCCAGAAATGTTTTTATAAGAGCAATAACCAATGTATGCTGAGGGGGGCCGCAAGTGGATAGGCACCAGAACCTCAGGTTCAAGCATGCACATAATCCTAAATAAAAGACAAACTATAGTAATTAGATGCATAATTTAAACATCTGTCAAGATAAAAGCTATATTGGATTAAATTCTTTGAGGTTTCATTTCTGGAGCGACCATCTTTTCCATCGTCATTACTTACCTACTTTTATCAATATAATTCTAGATTAAATTGATATTTGCATATACTAATATTTGAATAAATAGATTTAATAGGTTTTTGTTAAAATAGTTATTTACAGTATCTATGATTTCACTGAAGACTCTTAGATGACTTGCAGAGACGCATCATTTTCTCTTTACGGCATATAAAAGAAAAAATCTAGTTGTGAAAGAGACTGAATTCTGTACTAATCATCTCTAATGTTGGTATATTGATGGGCATCATTAACCACGGTGTTTTTGTTGTTAAGTAATTGTTAATATATATAAAATTAAAATGTTTTGAATATGCTACTTGAGAGAAAAAAATGGTAGGGGTGGCCACAGAGATGGCCAATGATTGACTAAGGGTGCCCATGGCCCCCCATCTAGCTCCGCCCCTGGTCTGCTGTCCTGCAGACTTTAGAGGTTTCTCTGCTTTAGCACAGCTGATTCTGATTATTGCTGTCCACCAAAAGCCTAATAATTAGCTATTAATGGAAGTCAGGTGTGCTGGTCCCTCATTGGTGACATTTAAAGGGGATATTTTTAATAATAATTAATTACCTTTCCAACAGGTTCAGTTTGCAAACGGAGGACTTCTCTGGGGAAATTTTTTTTTGTAAACCAGGACAGGTCGGCTGGTCACTAAATAAAAAAAAAAAAAATAAAGGTTAAAATTACTATTTTTAAATGTAAGCAAAGAAAGCGTGAGCAAAGCGCGCAGTCACCTGGTTTCAGTCCCGCTACCTGAACCTTCTCTGCTCGCTCTTTTCTGCTGCGTCTTTCTCCATTTGGCTGAAAATCCTGTCCTCTCAGCGGCAAATGCTCCTCCGAGGTTCGGCCTCCCTCTGCCAGCCCTCGGTTGTTGTATCTCCGGTGCCTGCTGGGCAGGTTTCCGCTCAAAACCTTCCGCCAAACTTCGAAAAAACTCACCTCGTCCCGCCGCCATCACCTCAGAGCTCTCTGCGCAGGAAGCAGTGAGACAGACGCACCGCTAGGTGGCAGCAGAGATTCACATCCTTTGAGCTCAAAGCGGTCCTTTAAAATTTGCTCACATTAAAATGTAAAAAAAAAAAACATTTTAATAAATATATACGCCTTTTTTTCATAAACAGAAATACAGATCCAGATTATATCAACGCAATGAAATAATGCTCAGTTA